CACGAATTAGCATATGCGCAAAAAATAAAGCTTTTCGAATCGAAAATTATTGTACTGAAGGAGCAACTGGATGCAGAGCGTAAAAGACGACTGGAGATGGCGGAACGTGCCGTGATGGCGGTGGAACGGGAAGACACACGTTCGCTCAGGTCAGCTCGCTTGGATGATTTTCCCTCATTGCACCACCAACCACGAGAACGTCACCTATCTGCCGCAGCACGAAATCGAGCACAAAGCCTGGCAAGAAGCTCATTTAGGCTTTAAACTTTTTAATTTTCCTGAAATTAAAGAGTTTTAATTTCTCCTAAAATCTTTAATGAAAAACTGATTTTAAATTTGAATTTAAATTCGAAAGTGATTTTGAGCTTTTGATTTTTTGGTATATTTTTCGTGGAATTTTGGAGTTAAAGGAAGTGACGGATTCAGGAAATGTAAAAGTGGTTGGTTTTATAGTCCTATGAAAAGCAGCGATATTATAGAAATATTGCCATATTTACAATGGAAAAGTGGGTTAGAAGCACAAAATTGTTATTCCTTTTTAATTTTAATGATATTTGAGAAGTTTCGGGCAGTCACTCAAGTCAAAAGTTAGAATTTTCTCCGTATTTATTCAAATGAGTGGCGGAAGCACCCAGAATTAACACGAGCGGTAGCAAATGCTAATAGCAACCATCTAGTAGTAGTGCTGTTGACGGCTCCCTCTTTCGAGTGTTGATTAGAAGCAAGCTGATGACAGGTGTAACTCCTTTGCATATCAGTAAAACCAATAAGTTAGCTATTCATGCGATGAAAGAGACACAAGAAAACGAATTTGAGGTGTTTAAGCAGGCGTAACCTCTCTCTCAGAGGTAAAATCCTGAATCCGTCACAGAAAATTTTTCTCCGTTGTTTACGGCTTTGCATTCGTTCAATTCTGTTTGCATGTTTTTGTTACTGTGTCCAGAAAAGTGACCTCATCCTAGTCCTTTGCACCTACCTTCCTCAAACCTCCCTCTCAGCGGGATTACTCGTTCA